AGCTCGCCTGAGGTCCCAGCTACCCAACAGCACAGCCAGCCTAGAACCCTGATCTCCCAGATACTAACACAGGTTTCCAAATGTATCCTGTCCTACTCAATCTCATCGGCAACCCGAGAAATGTAAATCAAACCCATCAGATTAACAAAAGAATAATAATAATAAATCAGCAATCCCCAGTGATAGCAAAGGAGTGAGTGAAATGGGTCTTTTCACACCCTGTTGGTTGAAGTATAAATGGTAGAGTTTTCAGAAGGGCAATTTGATAGTATCTGTCAAAACACTTTCAAGACCCTTGGGATAAGGCTTGCCCACCCACTTTTTCTGCCTCTCAGGTTTCTTGGGACTTTTCTTTTCCCACTGAAAATATTTGCTGCCCTCCAGTGGGAACGTGTGAAACAATGAAAGGTGAAAGAAACATTCATTGAAGTAAAATAGCGGGGGTATTAGGCTAAACCAGAGGTGCCCCATGTACCCAAATGGAAGGTGCCCTGCAATAAAGCCCGCCACCCATGACTGGTGGGTTAGATATGCACCCACAAATCGTGTATTTCCACATAATATTTCTCAAAATCCATATTACCAACCAAAAAATTAAACACTTAATGATGCAATGTGCTCCCATTAATGAAAACACGTGGTATCAAAAATAAAAATTCAAAGCAGAAAATAATAGGTCTTGAAAGAATTAAAATTCATTCTACTTGGATCAACAATTAACATCCATAGCAACAGCAGTCAAGAAATTAAACCATGTGCTGTACTGGGCAAAACTGCTGCAAAAAACTTCTTTAATGTTTTAAAAAGCAAAGATGTCACTTTGATGACGAAGACGTGCCTCACCCAAGCCATGGTCTTTTCAATCACCTCACCATGAGAAAGTTGAACAATCATAAAGGAAGAGACCAGAATTGATGCATTTGAATTATGGTGTTGGTGAGGAATACTAAATATACTGTGGACTGCCAGGAGAACAAACAAATCAGTCTTAGGAGAAATACAACCAGAACGCTCCTTAGAAGCGAGGGTGGTGAGGCTTTGACTTGCTTACTTTGGACACATCATCAGGAAAGACCAATTGCTAGAAAGGACATCATGTTTGGTAAGGTAGGTCAGTGAAAAAGAGGGAAACCCTCAATGAGATGGATTGATACAACAGTCGCAACAATGAACTCAAACGTATGAAGGATCGTGAACATGGTGCAGGACTGGGCAGCTTTTCATTCCGTTATACATAAGGTTGCCATGAGTCAGAATCGACTCAACAACAACTTACAATAACAACATTAAAATTCAAACTGAGAACAGGCAAATCTACAGAGGCAAAAAGTAGATTAGTGGTTGCCTAGAGCTTCAGGGTTGGGGATTGGAGAGCTGGGAGTGATAGCTAAAGGGTATGAGGTTTCTTCTCAGGGTGATGAAAATGTCCTAAAATTGATTGTAGTGGTGGTTGCATAACTCTGTGAATATATACTAAAAAATCCTGAATTATGCACTTTAAATCAGTGAATTATATGGTATGTGATTTATATCTAAATAAAGCTGAGAATATCTTTTGATCTAGAGACTCCACTTCTAGAAATCTGTCCTATGAAGTATTCACACATGCACACAGACAGACATGTATTAGGATATTCCTTTACTGTTGTTTATGACAGAAAAAATCATCAATCAATAGATAAACAGCTAAATAAATAAGCATATATCCATCCCCAGGAATACCATACAGCTGTTAAAAAAAAAAAAGAAAACTATGGAAGATTCGTATGTTCTGACATGGAAGTTTCTGAAGCTCTATGGATCCCTGGTGGTGCAGTGGTTACAAGCTCAGCTGCCAATCAAAAGGTCGGCACTTCAAATCCACCAGCCGCTCCTTAGAAACCCTCTGGGGCAGTTCTACTCTATCCTATAGAGTCACTATGAGTAGGAATAGACTTGACAGCAACAAGCTTGGTTTTTTTTTCGTCACAGAACTGAAATGCAAACTGCACAACATTAATACATAGCATAGTTCAATTTATGTAGCAATATATATTAATGCGTATACGCATGTGCTTGTGATGTATAAAGAAAGATCAAGAACAATACACACACCAGGAGCAAGGGAGAATGAAGAAAACTAAAGACACAAGGGAAAGATTAGTCCAAAGGACTAATGGACCACAACTACCACGGCCTCCACCAGACGGAGTCCAGTACAGCTAGATGGTGCCCGGCTACCACCACTGACTGCTCTGACTGGGATCACAACAGAGGGTCCCGGACAGAGCTGGAGAAAAATGTAGAAGAAAATTCTAACTCAGAAAAGAAGGCCAGAGTTACTGGCCTAACAGAGACTGGAGAAACCCCGAGAGTATGGCCCCCGGACACCCTTTTAGCTCAGTAATGAAGCCACTCCTCAGGTTCACCCTTCGGCCAAAGATTGGACAGGCCCATAAAACAAAATGAGACTCAAGGGGCACACCAGCCCACGGGCAAGCACTAGAAGGCAGGAGGGGACAGGAAAGCTGGTAATAGGGAACCCAAGATTGAGAAGGGGAGAGTGTTGACATGTCATGGGGTTGGTAACCAATGTCACAAAACATGTGTACTCATTCTTCAGTGAGAAGCTAGTTTCTTCTGTAAACCAACTAAAGTACAATTTAAAAAAAAAGAAGAACAATAGACAGTGATGGCGGTGGTAACCGCTGAGGAGCGGGATAAAATGGATAAAATGGGGGAACTTTCTCTTTTTATCCTCTATTTGAATGTTTTTAACAGTTAGTATTTGTGTCTTTTACATATGGACTTTTCTAATTAAAAAAAAAAAAACACTAGAAAACAAAAATAAAATACAAGGCTGCCCAGTCAAGTTGCCCATGGACACACGCAGCCGATAAAAACACAGGCAGGCATCCCTCCCTACCCAGTGTCCCAGCCGGCTCCGTGCCCTGAACACAGACCTCTTACACGGGAAGGTGCCCGGCCACAGCTCCATCCTGGGCTGCCCAAGGAATGACTGGCTTGGGCTGGGCTATCTTGCCGCCCCGACGCCACTTGGCCCCAAACCCAGTCACCTCTGGGGTATGAACCAAGGCTGCTAGGAGGCTCTTGCTCACCTTCACACCCAGAGATCCCAGCTCCAAGACAACCGAAGATAATGTGGCTTTCCTCTTTGGAAGTGAGAGGGGAGTGGAAGAGATTAAGAGGCACACACACACACACACACACACACCACCTCCACCCGACCTCCCACCCCCGACATCCTAAACCTGATCAACAGCCTTAGAAATAAAACACCCAGAAATAAGCCCCAGAATTACTGGGCTGACAAGATTCTTCATCTAGTATAAACCCCAATCACCCCCACAGCCCCAAAGCAAGAGGCAAGCAGGTCTTTGTACAGGGTCACGGCAGGCCATGCTTACGCCACTGAGTGACAGTCCCAGAGACAGCCCCCGGGGTAGGGTGAGGGAGTGTGCTTGAGGTATGCACACGGTGTGGTCCCAGCATCACAGAAACCACTCAGTCAGCGGGAGTTCATGAAAAACTTGGGGTGAGATCAAGCTGTCACAGTTGGCTTTGAAAAAGTTAACAGAAACATCCTGTCACCTCCACAGCAAAGGGAAACTCAGCCCTTTGACTCCCAGGGTTCCCTGCCCACGTTTCTGCACCATCATCAGAGGTGAAAACAAAAAACCAGACCGCCCAGAGGGACACAGTGTGACCGCGGATCAGCAGGCCTGGGCGTCCTGGCAATCAGATTACAGGACCTAACAGGACAGAATTTGAAAAACCAAAGTCGAAGGAAGACACCAGGCAGCCAAGGTGACTCAGACAACTGCTCCCTCAGAGACCTTGGGAGAGGGCAAATGCTGCCCCATCTTTAATGTCAGCCAGGTGCCGGGAAGTGGTTGCCAGGTCTAAGCAGAGGCATCCTTCACTCACTCACTCATTCATTCCCCAAGCCCCACTTGTGCCAAGTCCTGTGCCAGGCCCGGGGACACAGACATGAAATGAAGACAATCCCTGTTCTTAAGAAACTTGGTCCAGTGGATGGTCCGGGGGAAAAGAGAAGGCAGCTAGCATGACCATGTCCACATCTCCACTCCAGCTCTGTGTCTGGCTGTCCTGTTAAGATCCTGGACACAGCTGAGCCTCAGTTTCCCCTCCAGGACACTGCAGGTGCTCGCTGGGTGGCCCCGAAGCTCTGAAAGACTTTTAGCTGCAGAATTTTTCTTTGTAATGTCCCTGTCCTTTAGTAACTCAAAGCTCTTTCCAGCAGGCTGCCCAGCCCCCAGGGGCAGTCTGCGGTTCTGAAGGCCAGCTGACTCGCCTTAGTTTGTCTCCCCGGTTGAAAGGGCAGGGGAGAGCAGGCTTAGGCTCAGAGGGCAGACCTGGGGCTACGTGTGCTCCGAGGGCCCTGCTGGCAGCTGTGAGCCGAGCCCGCCTGGGAGGGAATCCGGGGGAGAAAAGCGGCTTATCCATTCCAATCCGCATCAGTGCCGGGGAAGGACAGGTGTAGACAGAGCCGAGGTTCTGCCTCTGAGAGGGGTTTCTGCAGGGAGATTCCGGCCGTGGAGGACGCTCTGCTGAGCACCCACCTCTCGGTGCCAGGCGCCTCCCTCAGCGCAGGGCACCCGCGTGAGTCTCACACATGAATAAGAGGTTCCTGTCCTCGACGGGCTCACAGGAAGCAGGCAAATGGTGGCGCTAATTTTACCAGCTCGGCTAGAGGGAAGCTCGCACCTGGGCTCCGGGGCCAGCACTGCCACTCAGAGTGGCCACACTCCTGGCCAGTCCCGGGTCATGGAGGGCTCAGGCCCCGGGTAGTCTCTCACTCAGGCCTCCCCAGCTCTGGTCCCCAGCAAAGCCCCTGGGTGTCCCCGTGGCCCCCAGCCTCAGCCTTGTCCCGGGAGGGTACAGGGGCGGTGGGAGCCGACCCCTGGTGCGCCCCGGTCGCCCGTGCTCAGGGCCCGGGCCCAGGGCCCCGACCCCGCTTCCCCCGGCGCCGCGCCCACCTTGAGGACCTGCTGCTCGATGAGCGAGGGGACCAGCACGATCATGACGGCGCCCAGCACGGCGCACAGCAACCCGGTGACGCCCAGCGCCGCGGTCGCCCAGCGCACTCCGGCGCGGCTGCCCATATCTGCGCGCCTGGCGCCCGCCCGGCTCCGCAGCTGCGGGGATAGAGGCGACAGAGGTGACAGAGGCGGGGACTCCGGGCGCGGGCGGCGTGGCGTGCTCGGACGGCGGCGCACTGAGCACTCCGACAGCTGGCCAGCGGCTTTATGCGGCCTGGCCCGGCGGCCGGACCGCCCCCGGAGAGTCCGGGCACGCGGACTCGGGCCGGCTGCGGGGGCGGGCCGGGGCGGGGCGCGGATCGGACGGGCCCGGGGGGCGGGGCGCAGCCGCCAGGAACGCCCCGGGCTCCGCCGCTCGCCCCGCGCCCCGAGTTCTCCCTTCTCCGCGCGGGCGTCGGGGCCGAGGCCCTTCTCCCTCCTTCTTCCTCCTTCTTCCCTGCCAGCACCTCCTTCCCTGCCCTCCGCCCCCTCCCCACTCCTCCTTCCTCCTCCTCTTCCTCCCCTCCATCTGTCCCACGTCTTTATCCCTTTCCCTTCTCGTCCGGCCGCCCTCCACTCCCACACCTCCTCCCCCTCCAACTCCCCACCTCCTCTGTCATGGCGTCATCATCACGCTTGCTGACTTTTAGAAGGAGCTTCCCAGCTCTCTCAGGAAAGCCAAGACCCTTAAGGTGGTCTAATACCGCCTCACCCCTCTCCGCCTCAGCTCGTACGCATACACACGCATACACATACACATGTGCGCACACAATACACATACTGACCCACATACATACGTATACACTCACACACATATACGTATGCACACACCCACATACACACATTCACACACACACACATGCATATGCACACTCACCCACATACACACGTATACATATCTACACGTATACACGTAGATACCTATGCACACACTCACATAAACACACATTCACTCACACCCATCTACACACGTGCACACACAACACGTACACGTGCATACACACACCCACATGCACACACGTATAGACTCACCCAGACACCCACATACACTCACACGCACACACACATACATGCACCCCCACACACACTCACATACACACAGACACATGCACACCCACACACTCCTTTCCAGCCTAGAACACACCTAGCAGGCTCCTGCCTCTGGGTCTCTGTGCCCCTCCACTTGGAATTCTCTTTCCCGTCCCTGCCCGGCTCTTGCCTTCATGCTGTCCCAATATCTCCTTATCAGAAACGCCTTCCCCAGCCATCCTCTGTAAACAGTGCCCCATGCCCATATTCAGCCCTCTTATCGCTGAGCACCACCTGGCATGTGACATATGATCTTGCTTGTCTGCGTTCTGTCCTTCTCCCCTTGCCCCCAGAACGTAAGCCCCCTGAGGCAGGCTCTGTCTCTTCTGCGGGCTGCCATGTTAACATTTTAAAATGAATGAATGAGGATCTTCTACAAGCTGGGGTCTGTGCTAATCGCTTTGCACATTATGGCTCCATTTTACAGATAAGGAAACCAAGGCACAGAGCAGTTAAGTCAACAAAACTGCTTTTTAATAAAGAGGGAGACGGATGATGAGCAAGTGAGCAAATCGACAATGGGGTAATTGCAGAGAATAAATGCTCCAAGAAAACAAAGCCGGGTGGGGAGCCGTGGCTGGCACTGAGTGGCACTGCCCTCCAATGGCATGTGCTCCTCTGCAGTCCTCCACAGCCCCCACCTGGCCGGCCCGCCTCCCAGACATCTGAGTTTGGGGTCCCTGCCGTAGGCTACTCTCCTCATTTTCTAGATGGAGTTACTGAGAGAGCAAGGGACTCATCCTGGCTGACTCATCTAGATCCTTCTATGGCTGACCCCTTCTCCTTCAGGTCTCAGCTCAAAGCCCCTCCTCAGAGAAGCCTTCACTACTTAGCCTGCCGAAACAGATGTCCCCATCTGTTATGGATCAAATTGTGTCCCCCAAAAATGTGTGTCAACTTGACGAGGCCAGGATTCCCAGTATTGTGTTCTCCATTTTGTGATCTGATGTCATTATCCCGTATGTTGTAAATCCTAAACTCTATGATGTTAATGAGGCAGGATTAGAGGTAGATATGTTAATGAGGCAGGAGACAATCTATAGGATTAGGTTGTATCTTGAGCCAATCTCTTTGAGATAATAAAAGAGAGAAGCAAGCAGAGAGGAGAGGGACCCCACAGCACCAAGAAAGAAGAGCTCGGAGTGGAGTGCATCCTTTGGACCCGGGGTTCCTGAGCTGAGAAGCTCCTAGACCAGGGGAAGAGTTAAGACAAGGACCTTCCCCCAGAGCAGACAGAGAGAGAAAGCTTTCCCCTAGAGCCGGTACCCTGAATTTGGACTTCTAGCCTCTTAACTGTGAGAGAATAAATTTCTCTTTGTTATAGCCACCCACTTGTGGTATTTCTATTATAGCAGCACTAGACAGCTAAGATGTCACCCACCAGCCACTCTCCATCAGATCTTCACCCCATTTCATCTGAAGTTGTCTTATTCAGTCATCAGTTCACATGGTTGTCTCCCCCAGCTCCAATGAGAGAGAAGCTGGTCTGTTTTTGCAAAGCAGTGCCTCCCCAGCACCTGAAACAATGCCTAGCACACAGCAGGTACTCAGTGAAGACTAGAAGGAATCGGCTAATTCATTCATTCATAATTGTCAATCAATCAACTCACCGATTAATGAACTACTCAATTAATTTATAAAATCTCACTGAGCTCCCTGAGGCTTCAACAGCCTTCGGCCGTGGAGATTGCTCTCTTTTCATGGACTTCTGTAGTTCTTGGAAATGAACCAGTTAACTGAGAGCTGGGGTCTGCCCTGGCCTTGACACTGGTCCTCTCTCCGCGAGGCCCCATGCGCCTTGACTGTCTCACCCCATCTGACTTTTCTTTATTACCCAGTCTTCAAGGTCCAAGTGTGCGTGGTGTTTACCCAAGCAGCCCCAAGGCCATGGCGGAGTGCCCTGGTGTCTCTCCACTTTGTCACCTGACACGAGAAAAACTCAGAGATGAAAGGATGCCCAACGCATGTGCCCGGCCTCACTGAGGGGAGTCGCTCTGGGTGGCAAGGAGGATGACCTCAGAAGGGGGAGAAAGATTTCATCACGTTTTAGAGAGAGGCCTTGTCGGAGTGAGGAATGCAGAAGGGGAAAACGGTGAACAATAGCAAAGGATCATCAACTTAGCGTCACGGCTCCTGAAAAAGCTGAGTCAGGTCTCATCCCTCCTCCGTTCAGGCTCTCCCATGATCAGAAAGACAGATAATAACAAGCGGTTGCGAGGCTGTGGAGCAATCAGCATCCTCACTCGTTGCTTTGGGGGATATAAACTGGTACAGCTGCTTTGAAATACACTCTGGCGTTTCCTCAAAAGGTAAACATAGAGTCACCCTATGACCACAATCCCCCTTCTAGGTAGGCCCTCTTCATGCCATCCCCGTTCTTTTCTTTGAGTATCCGAAAGAATGGGAAGCAGGCACTCAGACAAAAACGTGTACACGCATGTTCATGGCCACACTGTTCGCAGTAGCTAAAAGTGGAAACCGCCTGAATGTCCTTAGGCAGATGAACGGATAAAGTGTGGTCTACCCATCCAGTGAAATACCACTCGGCATAAAAAAGAAGCCACGTTGTGATACGTGCTGTGACGTGGATGAACCTTGAAAACGTGCTAAGTGAAAGAAGCCAGACATAAAAGGCCACCTCTTATAGGATTCCCTTTACATGAAATGTCCAGAAGAGGCAAAATCATGGCGATTAGTGGTTTCCTAGGGCCAGGGGAGGGGTGGGGGCGGGAGGATGGGGAGCGACTGCTGATGGGTTCAGGGTTTCTTTTTGGCGGGATGAAATGTTGTAAAATTCGTCATGGTGGTGGTTGCACAGCTATGTGAATTTACTAAAAGCTGTTGAACTATACACTTTTAAGTGGGTGAATCATACAGTATATGAATTATATCTCAATTGTTGGTTGCCTTCAAGTCGACTCTGACTCATGGCGACCCCGTGTTTGTAGAGTAGAACTGCTCCCCAGTGTTTTCAAGGCTGTGACCTTTCGGAAGCAGATCACCAGGCCTGTCTTTTGAGGTGCCTCTGGGAGACTTCGAATCACCAACCTTTCAGCTAGTAGCTGAGCGCTTAACCGTTTGCACTACTATAAAGCTGTTTTAAGCAAACAAACCTCCCATAGCTCCCACCTTACCTGGAGTAAAAGCCAAAATCCTCGCCATGGCCCACAAGTCACCACCATCTCCCTGACCTCATCTCCCCCTTTGTCCCCCTTGTCCACTCTCCAGCTGCACCTGCCACCTGGCTGTTCATCCACAATGCCCACCTTGCCCCTGCCTCAGGGCCTTTGCACTTACTGGCCCCTCATCCTGGAATTTCTGTTCCCAAACATCCATGCAGCTTGCCCTCCCTTCCTCCAAGTCCTTGCTCAAATGCTGTCTCCTTCGTGAGATCTTCCATCCTCTCTCCCTTTGGAGATGACAGACTACGCCCCATGACACCACCCCACCCCCATCTCCCTTCCCGGCTTCACTTTTCCCCACGGGCTCGTCACCATGCACCACACTAAGTAAGGGCATCTATGTTTGTGTTTTACTGGCTCACTTCCCCTCTAGAATGAAAAGCTCCCAGGCGCAGGAATCTTGACCTCTTTTGCCCATTGCTGTATCCCCAGCTCCTAGGACAGTGCCTGGCCCACAGTAATCCTCACTCAATACGTGCCAATGTTGCACGAACAGGAGCTATCAGAGCCTAGCAGCCAGGCCACCCAGCTGCCCAGGGGGCAGGTTACTTAACCTCTTGGTGCCTAGGCTCCTTTGCCTAGATGGGGATGGTCTAAAAAGTGCCTACCACATGGGGGTCTCACGCAGATTAAATGAGCTGATCCTCGTTACACACTTAGCAAGGTGCCTGGAGCAGGGTTAAATGCTTGGTAAATGTCCAATGTGACCATCGGGGCACGTGGGCAGCCCAGGTACCCCAATCCATGAGGTCGGAATTGTGGCTGCCCTGAGAGGTCATGACGAGGGAGCTAACGATTTGATTAAAGAGTCAC